CACACACACACACACACACACACACACACACACACACACACACACACACACACACACACACACACATCTCAACTACAGTACCTGTATTCTTTTCCTGTTTACTTCACCACTTCCCTGTTTGAGACTCATCTCTCACTACCAGACGTTTCCAAATAAGGGAATCGTATATTGCGTATATAATTTCATAATCTTACAGGACAATCTGCATGCCAAATACAGGCTCGGTTTCTCATCAGTACATCTACTACATCATGACTAAGGTATTCTATTTGTTCAGCCGTTGCTTGTCAGCTGCTTTGTCGACTCGAAAGTAAAAAATGGTTGAATGATTGGTCAACAGAACTTTCTGGTATTCTATTGTCCAGCCTGAGTGGACGAGGCAGAAGGGCGATGCTGCAGTCTCCTGTTGGCTGCTACGGTTTCTACTTGCACATTATGTCCTCTGCGAGAGTAAGGCCTCACAGATTGTGCTAATTTTCTACATGAAGTGTGAAGTGAACTTCCTTTTTTTTTTTTTTTTTTTCTACATGCAGACTGAAAAGAAGAAGAAGAAGAAGAAGAAGAAGAAGAAGAAGAAGAAGAAGAAGAAGAGAAAGAAAGAGAAGAAATAGAAGAAACTTGGAAAGGATTGGCTATGATAACTTCTTAGTAGTTCTTATGGTATTCATAAATTCCTCGCAGCAAAAATTTTGGTATCATTATGGTGTTTTTTTACTATTTTTAAAATTCCTGGCCGACTCAAACGGTTGACTAAAGAGTCTGTGGTATTCTTGTTCTGCAAACCTGAAGGGGTCTTGCAGAATCGTTTTTTCTTTTTTTCCGGCACTCAACTCAACTCAACTCAACTCAACTTTATCCCTGGGGGCCAACAGTATGATTGCTTGTAACTGGCTACCAAAAGCTTACTACAAATGTTAAGTAATGTACAAAAGGACGCTGGACCCGGTTTCCAGCAGGTGCAGCTTCCCAACAATAGTCCAGAGATTCCCCTTTTTTGAAGTTTTTTCTTTTTTCTTAAAAAAAAAAAGGTTTATAATCCGTTTATTACGTTTGTTTTTTTTTGCCCCTTTTTAGTAGTTTTAGCAACTTTTTACACAAAATGACAGACCCTCTTGGGCCTAGCTCCTATTCTGGGAACCGTCAGTTGACTCAGTTCGGTTCCTTTTTTTTTTTCTTTTTTTTTTTTGGTAGAAGCCGTAGCAGTTTCATTAAACATCAACCAATGGAGGCCGGGAATCCCTCCACATCTCAACGCGGAAGATCTGGGGCCATTACCCGGTTTAGGCTTTTGTCGGAAACCGGGTCCAGCATCCCACATTCTGCTACCTTCCAAACAAACAGGCAACTAGACAACAAGTTAGCATTTAGCTAGATCCCTCTCGTTACAGGCAGGTGAGGGGGAAAAGGCGGGTTAGGGCGTAAGAGGGTTCAGAAGCCATAGGATATAGGGTTCACAAGGTCACGGATTGTAGACAGTCGAAGAGTAGTAAGCATCTTAGTTCTTGCTTCACTGCCATATCCTGTAATTCGGAGCTACTTCCCCCTTTTTTTTTTCTTTTTTTTTTCGCCATTTCATCCTCAGATTCTTGCTGCCCTGCTTACTGATTCGATGTGGGTGTATCCTCTCGGCTTTTCCACCATTTCCATTTGAGCCTGTTCTCCAGAATCTCTGCCACTTTCCCCTGCCCTATGACATTGTTTTTGAACGCCTCTCGTATCTACTGGGTCTTCTCTGGAGACCGGCCCATATTCTTGCGTGTCACCGACCATTGTGCTGTAATGTCCGTCCTTAGCTGCCTCATGAGCTCTGCTCTCACCTCATTTATATAGGTCTCGGTTGTCCCTCTATTGGCTTTTGGCATCTGCTTTTCCAAAATAGCCCACAACGGGTATCGGCGCAACTTTTGAAAGCAATCGTGCTCGAATCTCGTCCATTTGTGTGGCGCCGGAATCCCCAGCAGCAGCGTGGTGTCTTTGTCGAGGAAAGTGTCTGTACTGATCATTTGCCACAAGGCCGTGACTTCCTGCCAAATCTGTTGTGCCCCTTCACAGTCCAACAAAGAGTGTCTGACTGTCTCCTGGAGTTCCCCTGTGCAGACTTTGCCGATTTCGTTTTGTTGGCTGCGTTCGTCCTGACGTCTTCTGATATTGAGGCACACGTTTACTGGTAAGGCTACTAGATAAATGCATAACCATTGTAGGCTCCGAACTTTGCCCAATCTCATGGCTGCCAGTTTAGACCATGGGTTGGATGCCCCCCATCTGCCTTTGCCATCTTGGGTGCAGCTAGTCGTCTGGTGCCTGCGAGCGTCTCCTGAAACTGCTAGTACACGGCCGCAGCCATCCAGAAAGTTTTTCTTGCCACGATCAAAACTCGGAGGTGCCGTGCGGGCAGGGGCGCGTTGAGAAAAAAAATTGGCGGCCTCCAAAGTGGTGTGGGTTTCATGCTGACACCCGCGGGCCGATGTGTGGTGTACTGGTGCTTTAACTTGTACCCCAGCCTTGTGGTGTAATGCAGGATGTTTGTTCTGAGTGCCACCCCCCGTGGCGTTCCTCGCATGCTCCAGGCCCGTTCTACTGGATCCACCTTCAGGTTGTCTATCGAGACTGTAGGGGGCGCAAAAAGATAGCGAAGACGTCCGACTCCGCCACCCTAGTCGTTCTGGCCCTTGCCTTTTTTATTGAAATCGGCGTGTGTTAGATTCCTTGATTAAAACAGGCTCGTGGTTGCCCCCACGTCCATAATGCCGTACATACACGTCTGCGTTTAGCCATCTCCCTTGTGGTCCTGTTTCCTCCCATACTCGGAATGCGACTGCCGGCCGGATTTGCATCTTCTTCCACCCATGTTGCCCAGTCCCCTGCTTCCCAAGCCGGGTCTTGTCGAAGGAGGGCCAGCCAGTCGTTCGGTATTGAGATAAGTACGTCGTTGAGGTTTTCCAGCAATTTATGGCTGCCCTTCAGTTCGCTCCTTAGTTCTCTTGCCGTCTTTCATCTCCTCTCCGTTTCCAACCATAGGTGTTTTACTTGCCAGACCCCATGCTCAATCCAGTTCCCCCATCCGAAATCCTTTGCTGTTAAAGTTATTGGCTTCGCCTGCTCATCCTTCAGCCACTGATTGCAGAACAGTGGTGGCCGTAGTACCTCCTCTTTCATTCCTGGTTTGTGTACTTTCACTGGGAATATGTCTTCCCACATCCGTAGCAGCTGCCTCCAGTGGTCATCTTGGTCCTCCTGGTTTTCATTGCCGTCTGAGGTTCGGGGGTGTCCGCTCTGCTTGGCCCAGGATTTACTCATCACCCAAAACCAGCCCATCATGTTTTCCGGTGTTTTGTACCTCGCTATGCTCCTGATTCTTTCTGATGCCAGCGGTACCCACAGGAGTCTATGATTACAGATGAGTTTCAGCGTCCATTTTCTCTGCAGAGCTTTAATCTGAGTTTGTGGATGTAATATTCCCAAGCCTCCCTTTCTTTTTCTTCTGATGATTATCGCCAAGCGACTTTAGTTAATAAAGTTCTGTTTTGCCGGGTCCGCTGTCTATAAGTAGGCTGCTGCTTTTTTGTCTGATTTGGTAGTAAGTTGTGTCTCGGGTGTCCAGATGGTGGCCGTGTACCATAGCGTCGAAAAACTGGATGCATTCAGAATGAGTGCTCGCCCGTATAGTGAGTTGTGTTGTTGACCATGCCCCCATTTTTTAAAGCATTTTGGCGAGCAGTTCCGGGGGCCATCGAATGGGATGGACCTATTTCTGCGACTTCAATGCCCAGAAAGCGTAGGGGTTGACCTGGGTGTAACCATTGCATTCCTTGCGGGGTGGGTGGTGGTGGTGTTGGAACCTCCTCTTCCGGATTGGTTAGCTACCATCCGATTGTTTTGGCGCAGTTGATTCGCATTTCTGATGCGATCTGGAATGCCTACATGGCTCTTGTGAGTGCTTCAAAGGAAGAGTCAGATGCTCTTATCAGAACTGTTAGATCGTCTGGAAAGATGATAGTTGTTGGCATCGGGATGTTGTGGTCTGGGTTGTCTGTTGGTGCCACCAGTCATTGGATGGAAGGGTCCTTTCTTAGGAATGACGCTATTGCTTCCATTATGCATATTCCTATTCCACCAGCAAGTCAGAATTACATGTATAACTGTCTGCCAAAAAAGCCTAAACCCTAGGATGACTCGGCCTGTGTTTCATGCTTTTCCTGTTGGTCGCTAATCGTTGTACTCTCGAGCAACCTGTTGCTTCTCCTCTGCCATCTTAGTTTGTCCCCATACTTGTATGCAGATGTTCCCACCATACTCCTGATCCCGTCACTGGTCCGGCTCTCTTGGACACCTATTACTTGACAACTCCAAATTCCCCAATTGAGTTGCGGGATATTCCCCTATGGAACAGCTATCTTCCGGTGTCCAAGGATGTTATGCTCAAACTGTTCCGAAGTTACCTGCTCTTTTTCTGGGCTTTCTTGGATGCGGCGCTGAATCTTTATCCATTCTGTGATGTACTCAGTCTTTAGCATGTCTGAACCCCTCAGAGAACTGTTTTTTGTGAACTCTTTTCTGGTCCAGAGGCTGATGTGCCTGATCTTTTGAAAGACGTTAGTTTCAGAGGTGGACCAGCATCGTAGGATGTGTTGTCCCGCGAGCTGAGTGATGGAAGTTAGTTTCAAAGGTGGACCAGCATCGTAGGATGTGTCGTCCTTTTTTCTTTTTTTTTTTGGTTAAACACCCTAGGTGATGCTAGGGGTGCTGATAGGAGCAGGCACCACTATCACTCCCGGGCTGGCTCCATCTATTGGTGGGGAGCAACACCTGCTGGAAACCGGGTCCAGCGTCCCTTACATGATCATCAAGAACAAGTCATTGTAAGTTGAAAGTAGAACCCTGCCTCTTCAGCCCAGCTGAGCCGCCAGATACACATACCATTCTAGCAGATCTACCTGATTTTTCCGAATGCAATGCACCAGTCCATAACAACCAGTGAAGGCTCAGAGGGAAGAAAGAATCACCCAGATTGATGACATCCAAACTGAAAAATGTCAATTACCCATCCCCCCTACCAAACCAATCCATATCTACCAGAGCTAGGTCTGAGGGAGGAAGGAGAAACCCCCATATTGATGACATTCAAGCTGAAAAATGCTAATTACCCATCCCCCCTGCCAAACCACTCCATATCTACCAGAGGTAGGTCTGAGGGAGGAAAGGGATCAGGAAATAAATCTGGAGATCTCAATGAAGCTCCTGGGAGGATCTTGAACCATTCGTGAAAGAAATTGTGATAGTCCCTTTTGAAAGAGACCCCATCCCCTCCTGGCCAACCACATCTCCCAGTCTCTCCTCTCAGCTTCCCTCCAGCCAGTCGAACTTGATTTTTTGCAGTTTCTTTTTTACATCCGTCTTTTGCTGCAACTTTTGTAAATCCTGTTTTAATTTACTCCATTGAGCCCGAATTTCTGTTTCAATGAATTGTTGAATAAGGTCAGAGATTTCTTCCCCTTCTTGTCTTACTTTTTCCATAACATGAACACAACGTTGGTATTATAGTGCCCACAATACCGCCTTTCTTCCTATATTAAAAAGATTTTGCTGAAAAAGTCAGAAAAACTGATAAATTGAATGTAACCGGGTTCCAGTATCCCAGCAGGATCGCCTACCAACTCCAGGGCCAATCCAAACCAGTAAGTTTGTTCCACACATAGTCCCATCTTCTCCATAACAATCTTGCTCCTCGACATTGTAGGAAAATGTGTTCAATGGTTTCACAAATGTTTCTACTTGGGAATACTTTTAGACAAGCTTGACCCCAAGGGAGAGCTAACCCTCTTTGCTCCAAAGATGAATGGTCTATTAACCAATCATTTGTTGGCAAACACCTATGCACTATTTGCCATTGTAGAGACACAAATTTTGCCAGTCTTTCCTTGAACCCCTTACACCACGAGATATGCCTGAGTGACTCTAGGTAAATGTTCAACTGCCTAGCCCACCGTTCTTGCGTAATTGCAGAGACATCCACCCTCGGTATCAACAATTGGTAAGATGCTTTGACAGTCAATGATTGCAACTTCTGAGGCTTGCTCCTTCTAGAAGATCTCCACATCCAATCCGCTGGATCCAGAGGGAGCTCAGGAATAGGAATGTCCGGATGAAAAACTCTCCAACCTTTTTGTGGAGGAACAATACACCACCCTGATTCTAAACAAAGCGTTGGAAGAGTAAAAAGTCACCTTATCCTGCTGTGACTGGGACAATGTATGATCCTAATGAATCCTGAACGAGTTCATTTTTTTTTTTTCAAGTCCATGGTGTTGTAGAGGCCAGTCACTGAGTGCATGGTGATCACCTGGAGCGGCAGGGCCGTGTGTGTCCTGGAATATGAGACCACCTCCCATCCCATCCTCACGTCAATACTCCTAGCACCTACCTCAGTGTGACCAGCACTGAGGACCATTACCCTACCAATTGGCAGGTAAGTTGGACCTAACAGCAGTGATAGGCACCAAGGCTGATTGGTTGCCCAGCCCTGGTGGAAGCGGAATCGGACGAGCCTTGTCGAACGGGAACTTCGGACGCCAGGCCCAGACAATCTTCTACAGGCCCCAAGAGACTCTGGGCCCTAGGTTCAGACAGGGTAGCACCCATTGAAGCAGTCTTACCATCCTTCCCCTAGCTTACCCAAGGCGAGGTGGAACTCGGACTGGCCTGAGCGACTTATACCCCTACCCTTACCCTAGGGTCTAAGCCTTATATAGCCACCAGACAGTTCTATCCGAATATCAGTAGGGACTCTGGCGGCCCTTACCTGTACCTTCTGCAGATACTAGACCTCACCCAGTGACTAGACCCCCCCAGTCTGATAGTTGTGTAGTTCGTAGTCTATGTGTATACCCGAAGGCTATGTATGCTCCGTGTATCTATGTATCAAGATGTGCTGTTACATGCTGCGCCTGCAACAGGCTGCAGGGGCCATTTTCAGGCCCGTGTTGTTTTCAGCCTGAAAGCCTGAAAAAACAAGGGCCTACAGGCCCTGTGTTGTTTTCAGCCTGAAAGCCTGAAAACAAGGGCCTGCATGCCCCGTGTTGTTTTCAGCCTGAAAGCCTGAAAACAAGGGCCTACAGGCCCTGTGTCGTTTCAGCCTAAATCAGGGCCTTTCCGGCCCCGAGTCTTTTTAGCCTGAAACTGAGGGCCATTTTCAGGCCCTCATAAGATCGACCTGCCCTGAAACTCAGGCACCAAACCAGGGTTTTAGCTCAGGCCATTTTTGGCCTATTTTCAAGACAACCTTTGTTTGAGCTTCAACCCCAGGGTCTGGCACGTTTTGGCATTGGC